ATAAAAAGTGAAAGTGTCACACCCTCAAGCACTTCTAGGAGCATTGGTAAGTGTTCTCCAAAAATTTTGGTTTCATAAAATCAATTAGGAGATTTTATATTAATTTTTAAAGTGACCAGTGCAAGTGTTAGGATAGTAGGTTTAATAATGGCGGTCCCCAGGGTGATTTAAATATTTAAATCACCGGTCCTTAATATGTTAAGATATTATGGGAATCAGGGGCGGTCCATGTATAGGCACTGTGGAACTGCAGCACCCCCAATTTCCACTTCATATTATCGATAACATTTATATAATGAGTCCTTTTTTCTTTAATTCTTTCTTTATATTTGTACAATACAATATATAATCCTTAAGCTTAATGTCAGTAGCCAAATCTTTGTATGGAACTGTGAGTTTCACAGTTCCAGTGGCGAGGTGTTTGTTGACTGTGCGCATGCACACATAGGAAGCTACATGCGAGGCTGCAAGGGAGAGGGAGCACTGCATGAACGACAGTGCCGACCGGTGCTGACCCTGGCGTGCTGGTGGAAGGTAGTTTTTTTACTCCACGTGTGTTGGGCTTAAAAATATGAGTTAATTGTAGAATTAGGTTATTATCCTGCTTCCAGCTATTCTATTTGATTCATTTTTTTTTCGGTTCTTTTATTTAACAGAAAACTTTAACCATGGCCTTGCATCCCCGAGAAATAAGTTCTGTAACTCTAAGTGAACTTCAGCAGCTTAAGTTTTCACAACTGTCTCTCCATGAGAAAGTTGCAGTTAAGAAAAGAGGTCGTTTAACACCTGATATTCTAATATCTCAGCCAGGCATAAGCAAGAACAAGAAATATATTCGTAGCTTTAATTCTGAATGGTACAAACAGAAAAGTTGGCTTTGCGGCTGTGAAGTAAAAAATGCACTGTTTTGCTTCCCGTGTTTGCTGTTTGGGGGTGATGTAATGCGGACAAAAGATGGTTTTAGAAATATAAACAAAATGAAAGAAAAAACTGAAAAGCATGAGAAGTCAAAGAAGCACGTTGATAATGTAGTTTCACTGTCACTTTTAGGAACCGTAAGTATTAAGGAGAAACTTAGTGAGGCATACAGACTTTCAATCAATGAGCATAATATAAAGGTTAAAAAGAATGGATTTCAATTTTAAATGAACAGATTAAGCTTGAACTGTAACAATTTAGGTTAAAGTAAGTAAAAAATGTTTGATTTTGTTCTTTTAGGATTTTATCAAGTTTCTGAATAAATTTTCTTTTTATACATGTTTGTTTCCTTTTATACAATTTTAAAACAAAGGTTACAAATTTTCTGGAGCAGCACCCCCACTAATTTTAGCTACGAGCCGCCACTGATGGGAACACCTGTAACAAATCAAAGCCTGATTCATGAGGAAATTGAGAGGAGACTGAATTTGGGTAATGCATTCTACCATTCAGTCCATAACCCTTTGTCTTCTCATTTGCTGTCTAAAAATATAAAAATTAGAATATAGGAAACTGTAATTTTGTCTTGTGTTCTGTATGGATGTGAAACATGGTCTCTGACATTAAGGGAGGAACACAGATTGAGGGTGTTTTGAGAACAGTGTGTTCAGAAAAACATTTTGACTGAAGGGTATGAAATGATGGGAGTTTGGAGAAAACTATACAATGAGGAGCTTCATAACTTGTACTCTTCTCCAAGTATAATTAGAATGATCAAGTAAAGGAGGATGAGATGAGTAGGTCATGTAGCACAAATGGGGGAAACTAAGAGTGCATAAAGGATATTGGTGGGAAAGCCAGAAAGAAAGAAAGGGTATGAAGTAATGGGAGTTTGGAGAAAAGTATACAATGAGGAGCTTCATAACTTGTACTCTTCTCCAAGTATAATTAGAATGATCAAGTAAAGGAGGATGAGATGAGCAGGTTATGTAGCACAAATGGGGGAGAATAGGAATGAATAAAGGATATTGGTGGGAAAAGCAGAAAGAAAAAGACCACTAGAAAGACCAAGATATAGGTGGGAATAATATTAAAATGGAGCTTAGAGAGAGAGGATAGGATGGGATGGTATGGACTAGATTGATCTGGTTCAGGACAGGGACCAGTGGAGGGCTCTCATGAACATAGTAATGAACCTTTGGGTTCCATAAAGTTCTGGGAAATTTTTTAATAGTTCCACAACTGGTCTCTTCTCAAGATTGGCTCAGCTTCATGAAGTTAGTTAATTAATGTTGAAAGCAAAGTCAAATATCCTGTACTTAAACCATAAAAGCTGAATATGCCCATGCATCAATATGATTAAAAGGTAAAAAAATTAAAGTGAAGCTATCCCTGTACCAGTCTGTGAAGGCCCATAGGGTTGTGAGACATTGAAAAATAGATTAGTGCAGTAGAACTGAAACAAAAGTAATAATGATTACACCCTTGTAGTTTTTGGGCCATCAAGTAGCTGAATCAGTAGTACTGAATGTGGTTCATTCGGTTTTGATGCTTTATATGGTTTTGAATGAACCTAAATTGTATAATCACCAGAATACTACTGAGATAGATTGGTAGGCGGTGGGAAAGCATAAACTGAACTTGAGATTATTGTACTGTTACAGCACATAGGACCAGCACACAACTACAGGAACTCATCTATGGCTCGACAGGCTATAAGAGATGCTGGGTATGAGATAGCTCTGGGAATGATGCCTAAGTCCATTGGCCCTCTGACTTTCGTGTTCACAGGCAGTGGGAATGTGTCTCAGGGAGGCCAGGAAGTGTTTCAGGAGTTGCCACATGAATATGTCCCACCAGACATGCTAAGGAAGGTGGCAGAGCATGGATGTGAGTCACTTGCTAATGAAAGTCTTTATGTGAACTCAGCTGCAGGAAGAGTTAATATTAATACAGATATATGGAACTGTCAGTGCAGATACTGAAACAGAGAATTTAATTAAATTATTCATTAATGAATTAATTTTTCTAACTTGTATGTTGAGTTGCTATGAACAAGGCCTTAAGCTCCTGCTCAAGAAGTTGGAGTGTCTGTCTGTCTTAGTGTAGAAATACTGCTACCCATAAAGTATGTGTTTGGTTATTATGGCTTGTTTATTATTTTCGTGATTATCTGGTGACATTTTCACTAGGGCAGGTCACCTTATGACATGTCTTCTGCATTGATCTCTTACTTTCTATTATTGCTCCTTTAAAACTGACATCCACTCTTTTCCTGCTATATTTTCATATCAATCATCATTTGATTTCTTTTATTTTTTATATTTTTTTCAGAATAGTCCTGTTGTTGCCCATTCCTGTGTAATTTCATCAGTTTTTCTTATAGTTCTGCTTGCTGGTCTTGGCTATTTCCTTATTTTCAGATTTTATCAGTTGCGCTTATTCAGTAATATTTCAGTTGTGGGATTTGTTGATACTCCAATAGACAACCACTTCAGAAAGCTTGCGGGCCCTGAAAAGGGCCATTTGTTCCACCGCGGTAGATAGAGTTTTATGGCCTTGGCTGGTCTGTCTGGCCGGTGATGTAGGGCTGCGTGCACCGGTAGAAATAGATGTTGGCTGCGGTGTGTTGGCTAATGTTGTGGCAGCTGAGTTAGCTGTCTGGTCACAGTGCGGCAGTTGCCGGAAGTTGCCTGGTCACAGTGCGTGGTTGCTGGAAGACGTCTGGTCGTGGAGCACAGTCACTGGAGTGGCGGCAGCTGCGCCAGTTGTCCGGTGTGTTGGGCATGACCACCGGAGAGCCAAGGCAGCTGTCCCTGATGCAGTGAAGAGCCGATGACTCCGAAGAGTGATTGCTCTGTACTAAGTGTGATGGCTGACTGGCTGATGTGGTCACTGATGATTGCTGGGTTGGAGCTCTGTCTTTTATACCAATCTTGGTGGGTGGAGATAGACTTGTAGTTGCTATTGTGAGCGCTGATTGGCTAGTGCATGTAATGATTATGAGTGAGCTGGGCATCGAATGCTGTATAAATATGAGTGGTGGCAGCAATGTGATTGGTTGGCGCGTGTGATGGTGACAAGTGAGTTAGACAGCGGGTGCTGTATAAATATGAGAGCTGACAGCAATGTGCTATTGACATAGGAGTGAGTGTTGTCCGTTGATTGGCGAAACAGTGTGATAGTATGTGGGATGTTCCCACACAGTGTTCTAATTATTAAGACAAAAGTATTAATCATATATTCTTGTGTTTTCTCATTTCTGTATGATACTTTGTTTTGTTCAGGATTGTAAGAACACATTCCACTCAAAGTTAGTGACATTCTCAACTAGTATCTGTAGTTTTTTATACTTAAAACCACTATTTGACCTACTATGAATTTTAATTTTCTACATTTAAATAAAAGAAAATGCAACACATTTGAAATGTAAACGTGGTGGCTAAATAAATCTTATGACTTTCTTCTGAAAAAGAGAATTTGTTTTGTTTGATACTAAGATTGCCAGATCATCTGATGTTTGAATTCTGTATTCATAAAATAAAACAAGAACAACTTTTACACCAATTATTAAATGATTGCAATGTGATATAGAGAGAGAATCTGTTGTTCAGTCAGTATCACTCATGGGTAAGGTGGTGTTGTATTTCATGTCATTTATTATGACATTGTTTTCATATTTCCGTAATATTTTAGGCAATTTGTGGTTACTAAAGAAAGCCTTTGATAATACATTGCACTCTGGCTTGCTATGTAAGTTGCCTAAATTGGATCTTTCAACCAGCTTGACCAAGCTCATTAGCTCCTTTCTTTCACAATGCAGATTGAGTGTTTCTGTAGAAGGCAGAATATCTGTGCCAAACGAAATGGAAGCGGGGGTGCTTCAAGATTCTGTCTTGTACCCTGCTTTGTACAACATATAGACAAATGATGCCTCCCAAACATCTGGTGTTTATCTAACCCTCTTTGCCCATGATACTTGTCTGTATGTGACAGATTGCAAGGGGGATTTTGTTGTCAGAAAACCCCGGTGCTGTCTCAGCTCAATGGAAACATGCTGTGGGTGCTGGAATATTAAAATAAGTTAGGATAAAACTCAGGGAATCTACTTCTCTAAGTCCCATCTTACACCGAATGGATGGAACAGTCCATTTGTAAATAATATAAAATGTTTTGATGTAATCTTCAATAAGGAAGTTACATGGAGATTGCACATAGAAATGATCAAAGCCAAGGCCTTCAGAACATTTATTATAGTATGTTCTCTATAAAAAAAATGAGAGATTTAAGTGCTAACATTAAATTAACCCTCCACAAAGCACTCATTAGGAGTATAATGACTTAGGATTGCCCCGCCTGGGAGTTTGCAGCAGACAACCATATACCGAAGTTGCAGCATCTGCAAAACAATGTTCTTTGCACCATTGGAAATGTTTCAAGGTGTGCAATGGTTTGCAATTCGCATGTGGCTTTCAAACTTTCATACATATATGATTATCTTCATCTTCATCAGTAATCTGTCAAGACGACAGGTCCACAGTCTCTTTCAAAACAATTCCTCCACTTAATGCGATCTAGAGCTTTCTCCTTCAAATGACAGTATCCTCTTCTGTCCCCAAGGTCATCCAGCATTTTCTTACGTCTTCTTCCTGATCTTCTTGTCACTTCTATCCGCCCATCTATCTTTCCTTCGATAGCTTCTTTTAGAAGGCAGTTTCTGCGTAAAACATGACCAATCCAATTAGCCTTCCGTTTTCTTATTTCATGTAGGATATTCCTCTGCTCACTGACTCTAATTAACACTTCTTCATTTCTCACATAATCGGTCCAACTGATCTTCTCCATCCTTCTCCAACACCACATTTCGAAACTTTCCAGATGTTTCTGATCTACTGCCCTAAGTGTCCATGTTTCAGCCCCATACAGAGCTATGCTCCAAATGTAGCATTTCACTAGTTTCTTCCTCAAATTTAAGTCCAATTTGCTGGTAAAAAGATTCTTCTTCTTGCTAAATGCAGCTTTTGCCATGGCAATCCTGGATTTAATTTCACAAGTACACCTTCCATCATCTGTTAACAAGCTACCCAAATATATGATTATATAACAAAATTATGCAGACAACAAGCAGAAGTCATACAAAATCATGAAAATGCAAATGCTCGTAACACTGAACAAGGTGAAGCCCAACACAGGAAATATAAGAGGCCTAAACTTGGTGGCAGTCAATCATACGTCTCTTCAAATGACTAGACTGCCATTATAGCAGGAGCTACTCAAACTAGGGGATGATCTGCTGTACTGAGCCTGGACTGACAGAGGCCTTGTATACAGGGTGTCCCAGGAGGAATGTGCCAGACTTCGGGAGGGTGTTGCTTATGTTAAAGTATGCTGATATAACTCAAAAAAACACCTATGTCCAAAGTTGAACGATTACGGAGATAATGTGTGGTCTTCTGGTGGGTCCACGCACTGTACCTGTCAGCTGGCTAGTCTTATCTATGTTTGTCCTTGAGTGTGGTCATTCACACTAGCCATAAGCTCATGTGCTACCTACAGAGTACGTTGCGGCCGCATCATGAATGGTTGGTAAATTAGTTGTGTGGAGTTGCTGAAATGCCTTTTGTGTTTTCACACGTGGAATATTGTGATATGCATTTTGTGTATGGATTTTGCGGTGGCAATGCATGTGCTGCTGTTGAAGAATACCAAAGTCCCTTGTACTGCAGCCACTTCTGGCCTATTGTACCAGCCCTAGATGATAGGTGAGGGTGATTGTGGAGCAATTGGTAGGATGAAGATTGGTTATGGCCGAAAAAAGTAGCAAAGAGGAGGAGTAAATGAAAATTAAAGTTGCATTGGAGATGGAAGTATATGTGTGCGTAAGTGGTTGTTATTATAAAGTGTGGTTAGTTTAAGTTTAGATATGTATTAAGAAAAATTGCCCAATGTAGGAAGTTGTGATTTCAGACTTCAGATGTGAGATTTTTAGTTCAGCATCATTTGGGTTTGACTACCATTAGAGATGGCTGTGGTTATCTGAGGCAAAGAGATTAGCGACAGTCTCTTTGAAGAATGTAGGTGGACAGATATGCAAAAGTTAATCTGAAAAAGGGAACTAAGGGATTAATTACAGTTTACATCTGTCTTGATTTCATATTGCTTGCTTTGCCAGCTCACACTAAAATCTATGGATGTGAGGTGCGGAGAAGGCATTATTTGGAGAGAAAAGAAGGTGGAGGATTTGACTCTGAAGAATTTGAGAAGTTTCCATCCCGATACATCTCAACATTTAGTAAGAAGGTTGGTCAATGTGATTGCATAATTTAAAACTGTGATTCAGTGGGAAGCTAGCTCCTGTCTTACAGATCACTTGAAAACAATGTAATTTTGTATTTTTTTCTGTTACTTGGTCTCTCCATTCCAGCTGTAACATAACTGCTATAAAAATTATTGTTAAACTCTGTTAATCGACTTTTAAGAAAACTAAGAAAACATTTTCAATACCATAGCTGTATGTAAGGTAAAAGGTAAAGTTGTCCCTATGCTTAACTAATTAAGCAGTACACCATGAAGACGTATGGGGAAATGGATGTATAGCTCCACATTTTATTGATCTCGGCACTAGATGGAGTTGAGTGGCCAGTTTGACGCCCCTGCTGCTTTACCCCCGGAGAAAGAGCCCCCAGTACCTATTGGATAGGAGGCTGGGTGGACCCCAGAACCAGTCTGGACGACGAAGAAAAGAAGAAATTCTTGACTCCACTGGGGCTCGAACTCTAACCCCTCGGTCGTCCAGCCTGTAGCCAGTTGCTATACAGACTACACTATCCTGGTTCCCCCTAGCTATATGTATTAAAATTGATCTTAGAGAGATAGGATGGAATGGTATGGATTTGATTGATCTAGTTCAGGATGAGGATCAGTGGAGGGCTCTTGTGAACACAGTAATGAACCTTCAGGTTCCATAAAATGCTGGGAAGTTCTAGAGTAGCTGCACAATTGGCAGCTTTTCAAGAAAGGCTCAGCTCCATGTGTGAGTGAATTTATGATAATATTTGAGCCCCATATATTGAAAATTTATACTGACAATTAACTGTAAATGTTTCTGAAGTTGCTTGGCTTCAGTACAGAATAATCTTTTTCTGGGAAAGAAAGGAAGATTTCACTAAAAAGATCCTAAGTTTCTTTAGTACTGTAGCACAGTACATAAAGTATGTACCGTCAGGAATAATATTCCCTTCAGGTGTCTGATGGTGGTATTTTTTTTTTTTATTTTAGATAGCACCATATGCTTCTGTCATCATTAATGGCATCTACTGGGCAGTTGATTCGCCCAAGCTGCTCACTATTCCAGATGCCAAAACCCTACTCAGACCTGCAAACACCCCATGGCTTCCATCTTCAGTTGGCTCTCCTGCTTTGCCTCACAGAATGCTGGCAATCTGTGATATCTCAGCTGATCCAGGAGGTTCTGTTGAATTTATGAACGAATGCACAACAATTGACACACCATTCTGTTTGTACGATGCAGATCGGAACAAGGATACAAAAAGGTAAGGTCAGCTTTTAAGAGTCTTTCTCTACCTTCGGAAAGGTTAATTTCAATTTCCCTTTTTCACATATTAATTTCTGAGTAAGTTAGGAGTCCTAATGATTTGCTGATAATCTTGTAATACTTCTCTTTGTAGTAATGCCACTAAAAGATGTTACACTTTTTTGTTTTGTGCTTAACTTTCTTTGTACTGCAAATGATCTTTATTCATGGACACTGAAAGAATGGCTTCCTAACATATACTATGGTAAATGATATAATGATACAAATTCCGTCCCAAGTGCAAACAATATATTATGTGTCCTTGATCTTGCTCCTCTACACTACATGTTTCGGCCTCAGACGGCCATCATCAGGTGTATAACACTCACGTTGCTGTCACACTGCACCCAGCCCAAAATTTAACATTTAAAACACTTTCCTTGTTATTATCAACATCTACTTCGTTGATATCTGTCTGGTTTGTAGATTATTTTACACACGTTAATTTTGACATTCCTATAGTAGCACTATAAATCTTTAGTTCTAATTTTAAAATCTTTTAAAATTTCTTTTTTCTCTAAATTTTAAATTTAAAATTTAGAGAAAAAAATTTTAAAAGATTTTAAAATTAGAACTAAAGATTTTATAGTGCTACTACAGGAACGTCAAAATTAACGTGTGTAAAATAATCTACAAACCAGACAGATATCAATGAAGTAGATGTTGATAATAACAAGGAAAGTGTTTTAAATGTTAAATTTTGGGCTGGGTGCAGTGTGACAGCAACGTGAGTGTTATACACCTGATGATGGCCGTCTGAGGCCGAAACATGTAGTGTAGAGGAGCAAGATCAAGGACACAATATATTGTTTGCACTTGGGACGGAATTTGTATCATTATATCATTTATCGTATGGAGTGCAACAGGATGCTTAAATATAATATTATATACTATGGTGTAATATTCCTCTCTTGTTTTAACTGTCATTTATTCTGATGATAGTGAAACCCAACCTGTTTTTCCCAATTATCCTGGAAGGCTGAGTTCAATTTGTTACTTGGTTTACTTTTCTATGCTGCAGCTTCAAGGGCCCTGGCGTGCTGGTGTGCTCCATAGATAACATGCCAACTCAGCTCCCTAGAGAATCAACTGATTTCTTTGGAGACCTTCTTTACCCTTATGCATTTGACATCCTTCAGTCTGATGCCACTCAACCCCTTGAAAAGCACAACTTCAGCCCTTCTGTGGCAGGAGTAAGTATTCAGAACTGCAAAAGTGCACAGTTTACAACTTTCCAGACCTCTGTGGCTGCACATTTGATCTTACTGCTATAGTACAGGTCTTGCATTGAACAACACCAGATGCTGGAAGTCAGACTTGTCTCATTTAAATTGTAGTGGGTATATTTTTCACATAAATTCATAACAAGACCCTAAAGAATTCAAATTTTATGAGAGATTATGCATGCAAATGTTTAGTGAAACAAAGGACAAGGTGTCTTCTATCATATGATATAAGTGTTCATCTTAAATTTTGTTTTGTTAGTGGAGGGCAAAGGAAGGTATCTTCTCCTCTCAAGTGTATATGAAGAACTGAAAACATTGGAACCTTCTTAAGGGATTGAACATGTAAATGCTTAGTGAAAGCATATTCAGAACTATAGCCCTTTTGAATTTTAGGACATTTGAGGACAACAGCCTAACTAGCATATTTTAAGTAATTCTGAATGTATCAGTGATAAGAGTTTGATATACTCTCCACCTGTCTCCACACAGAGCTGAACATTGTGCCACATGGATTGCCAGCCATACATTCAGGAATACTGGGTTTTTGAACATTATCATTCATGTTAAAAAAAATGTCTGCCTTTCCTGTAATTGTTTCACATGCTGCTGCTACTCCAGTTCACCTGGGACTGAAGTCGCATAAATTAAATATTTCAAATATTCCCATAAAATGAGTCCATTGGATTGAGATGTGGTGAGTGTGCCAAACCATACATGAAATTTATGTCTGCCATTTCTGCATTTGTGTAATTAATTTCCATTTCACCAGAACAGCACAATTTGATTGTCACACCAATCCACTCATGAAATATGAAATATTGACTGGAAACTGCCTCTGTATGGTGCGAGACACACACAAACTCATGACTGCCTTTCGACAGGATGACACAGTACATTTGTAAACAGTGAAATAAAAACATAAGTTATGCTAGATAAGCTGCTTTCTTCAAATATTCTAAAATTCCAAATTGGCCACAGATCTGAAGTGTGACTATTTCAGACACATGTTTGTATATACTATTCATTGTTTTAATGTGCGGAATCATATCTCAAAGTCTGAAAAATATTTTTCATTCACCTAGTGTGCACATGTGCCAGATGTGCACACACACAGAGACAGAGGGTGAGATCCTATGAACTTCATGAGGTGTTGGGATATAATCTAGAGCAGAAAATGTAAATAAGTTGTTCACTTCATCAGTTTCATCAGATTGTGATGTTTTTCCTCTTTTTATTGAAATTACATAATTGTCAATTCATGTGTACATTCAGTTCTTCATGTTTAACATCCTTAGTTTTTGCTTTCAGTTACAATGGCTGGAAAGCAAAGATTCTGATGTTATTAATGAATTTTAATTTTACATTTGGTTTAACTAATACGTGTATATCTGGTTATGCTATGGGAATTTGAGCACAGTTCTGTGTATTTCTTTCCAAGAACTCTTCAAGGTTATCTTCTCTAGCCCATGCACAATTCACAGGGATATAAAATGGAATCTCTGACATGAAGCTGTTATGTATGCTGGCCACTAATGTCTGTCACATTTACCAGGATTTGACTGATCAGGTCATTGCAGTTTTATACTTCTGTAACATAAACTCTTTCTTTGTCATATCATGGTAAAAATCAAGTGGGTTAAGATCAAGGGGATGGGGAAGCCAAACAATTGGACTCCTATGGCCAACACATGCGCCTAAAATAGGTTATTCAACTAATTATGTACTTAATGTGAAGAGTGTGGGAGCAGAGTTGTGCCGAAACCACATGTCCATGTGAACATTAAGGGATACATCCTCCGATAAAAGGGGAAGTGTTATTTCTAGGAAATCAACATACTGGATTCCACTAAGATATTTGCTATTGCTGTTTGTCAAATTAGGTAATCATTAATGATTCTGACCCAGATGTTGGTGCAATATATTTCTTGAAATGAAAATTGTTGAATACCATGAGGATTCTCCAGTGCCCATTCATGTAGGCTGTGGAGATTGTTTACTCCACTCCTTTTGAATGTTGCCTCATCAGTCTGGAATATATGGCACAGAAAGTCAAGTTCATCTAAAGTTTTTGTAAAATCCACTGACAGAACTTGATGTGAAAGATATTGTCCCCTTGCTGTAGCCCTTGTACAAAGTACAAGTTGTACATGAAAAGAGTATAACTGATACTCATGCAGAGTGTGTCAAACTGCAGTACTGTACAAGTGCAGGCCTGTTTCGTATGAGATCTGATGAGTGCTAACCAACAGAGTAGCATGTACAGAATCTAACACTTCCTCTTCCTTCTGCACATTGCATGAGCCATGTACTGGTGGCATGAGTGCACCTAGTTTCCTCAGAGTGTAGTGCACCATTGCAGTTACATGTCTGTTGGGTTAACTCTGATCTGGATATCTGTGCTGGTATTTCTTCAATGCAACTGTAGCATTTTACATCACAAAATGCATCAGTATACTCCACATTAGTAAATCATGCCATCATGTTTCTTTGTTGTCATTGCTTTCCTGGTGGTTGTAATATGAGCCATAAGTGAATGCAATATGATCACTATCTTGTGACATAAAGGCTTCACCGCATGAATATACAGAAAGATTAAGACTAGAATTTTGAAATGCCATAAGTCTGAAATTGGGATGAAACTGTTTGTTTTTGGTTTCTGCTCCAAATTTTCTTTTCAAGAAGCTCCTAAGATTTGGCTCTAGGGCTTTGACTTACCCTATATGTGTGTGTGTGTCTATGCTTGCAAGAGTATGTGCATATAACAGTACTATTTTTAGTCATGTGCATGTCTAAAATTCTTTAGATTTAATTAAGAAAAGATTCTTTATTTCAACTCGAACATTATTTGTTATTCTTGAACTTTGAGAAATTACTTATAACTGTTTTTGCTTTGCACATTGGGATCATGTTAAAGGAGAATGCTATCATATTTGCCTGAATGGAAGATGATTTTTTACTCTTTTAAGGGTTACTAAACTATGGTTCATAATCATGAATTTCAGTGCTCTCTCAGTGTATATAAATGTAATATCTTTTAACCCATTTTAAGCCTTTGGTGTGTTCATGGCACTGTTCACACTATCATGCTGTGAGATTATAAAACAAGAGAACGAGAGAGACAGAAGTATATTTCAAAGTCAGAAGATATGAGCTGCCATGAGGTTTCCTGAAGTACTGCCAGTCTTGTGAAAGAGTGGTAATTCACCGATTTATGATATCATGAGATTCTATGCAAATGGCAGTGTTACTTGTAAAAATGGCAGATTATGTCAAGAAGAGAAGTAGCACTATGCAAGAGAGTAATGTGTTGAAAAGAATCAGATGCTGCTGTTACAGTTCTTATAGGGTCTTTCTGATAAGATGCTCCAGTTTTGTCTACCTGTAATTACTTACTACCTATTACACCGCAAACATCACTGTATTTAGCATCTCTGAGTTCAGTAGTCTTCTGAGATTGACAATCATGTAAACATATTTTCAGTATGTGCACTATTGGGAGCTAATGTCAGAAATTTCACACAACTGCAGCTAGAGTTCTTCACTGATGCTGAATTTTCTTTTTTCAGTTCTTCGGTTTTGTGCAGTTTGTTTTTTTAAAGTGTGTCTTTCATAAGAAAACTTGCATGGGTTGGGTTAAGATCTGGAGGGTGTGGTGGCCTGGATCACTCATGTGTGGACCATTCAGGAAAATGATTAGATGGCACATTGTTGTCAGAATAATCATTGAACACATCCAACACTGCACTCAGAGTTCGTGTCCAACCCTGTCCAGCTGAAAAATATTTCTCCAAAATTGTGTCCTGAGATGAAGTACAAAGGTGGTTACAAGAAAAACTGGAACTTACACCAACTCTATGCAAAAATTGCCATTTGTACAAATTCAAAGACAGAATGGAATGCCAGTTTTATGCAACATTATTACTGAATGAGAGGCTGAAATTTTAAGTCTAGCTCTGGATGGTATTTACAAATGATGTGAAGCAACAGTTTTTCTCTACATATATAGCATTTAATTTGCAAGGAGTTACTATCACAATTTGAGGCACCATTAATAAAATTCAGTTGTATTTTATATACCATTCAATCATACCATCAGTGAAACAGGTGGAATATCTGTTGCGATAAAACATTAGGCAGTGAAAAGATGTGAGTAACTGTAATATAGTTGTATTGACAGAGTTGGCGGATAGCATGAAACTACTACCATATATGATATTAAACAGAAAAACTATGCCATAGGCCTACAGGATTAATCATCATGTGTCAAAGTAAGGGATGGATGTGTCAGTGAACAGATGATTACAAGTTGTCTGAAACAGGAAACTAAGGGTATTGTTGAGAAAACAAAGAATGCTTGTGTGGGATGCACTTGAAAGTAATATAGTACTGGATGTCAGATCTGTGATTCAGGCAGAGAATACTGTCATTGAAGTCATATCTAGAGGGATGAAATAATTGTATATACATTCTAATAACTAAACCTCACAGAGATCACTTGAAACAATTGTATTCAAACTGGCTGTTGGTAGGGGACCATGTTATGTCTCCAACTGGAACAATATAGATGCCCACTGTAGAATTTCTGTGCTGATGGATCAAGACCACGGCAGTGAATCTCATCATAAGTAATAATCAAAGGAAATGTGCGGAAGGGAGGATGAGTTCAGAATGTTGACAGATAACAGGAGAGTGTGAGCAGAGACTGTTAGAATATTGGAATTGTGAAGACACTGAAGCTGAGACAGGCGATATGAATGGTGAATAAAGTGAGACTGGTGAAGTTGAATAAAAGCTAGTTACTTCAAGAAGGAAACTGACTCAATACATTTCATGTGTAATGTATAATATTTATTTTCTTTCACATACTTGCAATAAAATTATGAAATTAATTCGTAAAATTACTTTTTCTGTGCAGACATGTTCCCTAGTGCGGGGTCGTCTTGCATTCAGAATCATCTTTAATTCAGGTAAATATGGTAATACACTTTGAGCACTGAGAGGAAATGGCTGATGTTGTAAATTCTCATAGTGAAAAATTGGTCTGCTAGAGAATATTCTGCCTTGTCCTGATTCTTGAAATTCTTCTAAATTCTTATCTCACACTGAAGAATTCATTCTTACAAATGTTCATGTTCATGTTCATTTATTTCAAATTCAAGCAGATCCAGATACAGGTTGAGAATGTCTAATCATTTTCTAAAACACCAATGTAATTCTTTCATGTTCATATGCCTGTTACCTTATTCTTCTTACACTTTATATTCTGAATCTGGGCTGTTTTTATACATTTAAAAGCACAGATACAGGTTGAGAATGTCTAATCATTTTCTAAAACCAATGTAATTCTTTCATGTTCATATGCCTGTTACCTTATTCTTCTTACACTTTATGTTCTGAATCTGGACTGTTTTTATACATTTAAAAGCACTGACTTTTCTAACATCATTACCATTTTAAAAGCGTTATTTAAAGAACTTTAATTTTCAAGTTAAATGTCCTTAATTATAAATTTTATGGGATGCTTGTCCAGAACATGAATATATAGATAATGAACAAGAAGAAAATAAAGTAAATCATTTAATTGCTATAGCAGCACAAAGAGAGGAAAAATTTAAAACACATCCTGACTTTGGAGGGCTTAAAACCTACAGTCTTTTCAGAATCTGAGTCTTAATTTTTTCATTGCAACAATATTTTGTGTAATATACATGAGAAAGTGAAAACAAACCTCTGTCACCACTGATTAACAATATTTGCATTCGAGTAAATTAGTGTAAATGTTTGTGTTAAGTGTATTTCAGTGATTGGAATCAGCTCGCACATAGTTTGGCTTTAATAAGCCCCTGAAATTCATATGGAATCTTTATAAATAGCTTTGGATTATTAAATCAAGCAATATGTCATTCATACACTGCATGCTCAATTGCAGAAAATGTTGATTTACTTTAATTTTAATTCTGTATATGCATGACTGCAACCAATTAACTTAGAATATTTTTGGCTTATTTAGGCATTGAAGTGCAACTTGCCATTGGAAAGCTGATGCATTCTATTTGACAGTTTGCTTTCCTTTCAAGCTGTTGAACTGATATGATAGCTGCTTCTTCTTTATTGGAAAGTAACGTGTGATTCTGTCTAAATGTTCTTTCCCAGGCCATTATTGCCAGTAATGGAAAGCTGACTCCAAATTTCCAGTACATACAAGATCTGAGATTAGCTAACAGGTATGTTATAGTTTTGAAACTTCTTAGCCCAAGTCATGTTTTGACTGACTTCCCGTCAGTCTGTACATCATGATACTGAGCCCCTTTCGGGGATCATGGCCAGACTGTTCAGTCAGTTTAGACGTATATAGTGTTGGTCATCCTTCTGTCTGATGGGAGGATGGGTTTGTCCTTTGTCAAAACCTTGTCTTAGGCATTGTCACTACATACATTTTCTTATTGTCTGTTTTATGTAAATGTGTTACGTTGTAAGTAATACACACATGTAGATAGTCCTCTGTCAGTCCAGACTTTATCAGCAAATTATGCCTTATTTTATTTAGCTTAAGCTATAATGACAGCTTAGTCACTTCAGTTGTAATCTTAACACCTGCCAAATTTAAGTTTCTTATATTTTGCCAGTTCTCAGTCATTTCTTTACACACTTTTATCTCTCCAGTATTTGAAGTGCCTTTTTATTATATTTAATATAGAAGTATAATGAAATTTGATGTAAATGTGTGCATTGTAACAGGATGCCATTGCTGGACAGTGCCACGTTGTCCTTGGAACATGGCAGCAAACATGGGCACAACAGTTAGGAAACTGTTGGAACCAGAGTAGTCCAGTAAGGGTGTATAACTAACTTCATGGAGCTGAGTCTTTCTTGAACAGTTGCCAGTTGTGCAGCTGCACAAGAGCTTCCCAACATTATATGGAATCCCAAGGTTCATTACCATGTTGACAAGAGCCCTCCACTGGTCTCAGTCCTGAGCCAGATCAATTCAATCCATACCACTACATGTTTCACCTCCTGCTTAAATCACTTTTGCTGGGATTTTTTTAAGTACATGGCAATTTATAGATCTTCAATTTTGCAATAGTAATTTCAGCCTCAAGAGGACTAGGATCAGGTACTATTGGCTCGACTGTATGTATTTCTACTGCCTAACATCGCTGACCCTATGCACATTCAATAACTGAGAGCATAGTTCTTCCACATATTCAAAATGTTGTGGGAATCTGCAAGCAGGTCACCATTCTCATGCTTCACAAAGTTTTAGGTTGGTAAGCTGTCTTAAATTTATTCCTCAATACAGGTCTCTAATGTTCTGTTCTTACTGTTTGTTGCAAGCTCATTTATTTTGTCTTTCAGATATTCCCTCTTTTTATTCCTGAAATGCCTGCTGGCTTCACATCTTATATTTTTCAGATTATCTCAATTTATTTGTTTGGATCCTGTAACCACTGCAATTTGGCTTAGATCCTAAAACGACTGCAATTTGACTTGTTTCCTTTGATCTAATAATTTTGAGCATCCTTCGTAGAACCATGGCTTCAGTTCATAATAACCTAAATTCTCTTTAGTTAAAATCGTGATATTCTTTCTAGCAGTTTCTGAAGCTCTGTTCTTAATCTCCACCTCAGGGTTTAAGTTTTCCAGAGCTGTAAACTTACTTGAGATTTCTGCACAATACTGCTCTGTACCCTCTATCTTATTTAATTTTGAAATTGAACCTTTTCATATGAAATCTGTGCATTGTCTGTTTACTCACTGCCAATCTCTCCTTAACTTTTGCGACCACCAGATAGTGGTCAGTATCACATTCTGATCCCCTGAACTATCTGACATTCAAGTACACTTGAATGCCATTTCCTGTCTATCAAAATATGGTCAATTTGATTGTGAGTCTTTCCATCAGGAGATGTCCAAGTAAATTTATGAATGTTACAATGTGGGAACATTGTACTTTTGACAGTCATATTTTTGGATGTGGCTAAGTTTGCTACTCTAATTCTATTATCATTACTAATTTTGTGTAAACTGCCATTCCCAATTGTTTGTTTGAAAATGTCTTCTCTACTTACTTTGGCGTTGAAATCTTATAACAAATTTTTACATGGTATTTTGGGAATTTATTGAATACACATTCTACTTTCTTATAGAAACTGATATCATCAATTTTATCCTCTGTAGAGTCATGAACATTCATAATGATGATATCACAGCAGCATGCAGTATTATGTATGACATCCTATCACCAACAAACTTTACCCTCTTAACTGCTAATATGATAATGTGCAAAAAAACTACTTAATTCATGATTCTCATTCCCCTTTCCATAGAAAAATGTACATTCATCTGCTCCTTTGGTCCCATCTGAGCTGTACTACCACTAAATCTGACTTATATTTTCGTATTTCTTTTGCAGCTGTCATGAAGGAATCTGTCTATGAGAGGTTTGTTACATTCCACGTACCAAATCTCATGTCCATTTTCCTTAGCCTAGGTCATTTATCAGAGAAGTCTGTCTTAAGTTCAAGGCCCTTTGTGACATTTCATGACAAGCTTAGTTTTTACGGTGAGAAGTTGTTGGTCCCACGGCCAACCCCCAAACTGGATTCCACCCATTGTTGGTTGTCCATGACTGCTTATTGATCATATTCGCAGCTACCCTCCACATCTGGAGGCCATCTCCTTCATCTGCAACATGAGGACGCGTTATGACTTCATCACACGGGACCCATCTAATATGGAGTGAGGGTGTACAGTGAGCACAGCCCCAGTTTCCACAGAACTCCCAGCATAGTCATTTCATGGGACAGTATATTTAAATTTCCATTTCAGCCATTAGTTACTAGATATGTTCAAAAGTTTTTGGTATTTAGTGCACTTGCGTTTTTGTAGAATGTGTCTGACACAGATATTATATTGTGACATGTTGATCCCTACCGCCCCAGCTCCACGTAGCGGGAACTTAGCGCTCGCGTAATAGGCGAGTAATCACCCCGCAATGCGCAACGCGCGGTGACGTCACGAGCGGAGCCGAAGAGAGCCGAAGAGAGCCGAGCGGAGCCGAAGAGAGCCGAGCGGAGCCGAAGATAGCCGAGCGGAGCCGAAGATAGCCGAGCCCCCGTAACCTGGTAACTATGCAATGCTAATCAACAGCGGTGACGTCACACTAGCAACAGCGTCCTAGGCTATACGCCACGTCACACTAGCAACAGCGCAAGGCTATATAAGTGGACTCCACAGCAGCTACGAGTTCAGTTGAAACATAGCAGCCTGCGAGTGTGCGATAACTAAGAAGTCGGCGAGCGGAAGACTTATTGTGTGCTTTCCAGACATAGTGATTGCTGTAGTACAGTTATACCCGGAGTGTGTATTTCAGGGAGACTTGTATAGCTCCCGCGTTAGTAGTACGTGAAGACAAGTGAAGACAGTGTTAAGAGATTTGTTGTAGGGTTTGTAAACTGTGGAAACCCGTAACGTTGTGATAATTAAGTGTAGCCGATAGTTGTAGATTGTTCAATAAACCAGTTAACGATCTCTACGGCGTCTTCTGTAATGAAACACGTTACAATATTTACATATGATTGTTTTGCATGATTTTAGATACATTTTCATTTTATGGAATTTAATTTTTAAAAACAAATTCCAGTTTTTTTAAACTGAATTTCACTGTGTTCACAAAGATCTTTGTGTTGGCCAGTGACTGGTATTTATTATATTGTAACGTGTTTCGTTACTGAATACACCGTAGAGATCCTTAACTGGTTTATTCAGCAACCTACAAATAACGGCTACAATTAATTATCACAATGTTACGGGTTTCCACACTTTACAAACCCTACAACAAAATCTCTTAACACTGTCTTCCAGAGTCTTCACGTATTAATAGTGCAGGAGCTATACAAGTCTCGCTGAATTACGCACTCCAAATATAACTGGTTATCATGAACTATCACTGATTCTCACACACGCGTCTGTAGCTCGTAACTTGTGAACTAAGAACTCGTTGATAACACACTGACTCTCGCTTGCTGCTCAGCTGGCTTTTATTCCATTCACTGCTGCTAGGGTCACCCGCCATGTCACAGTAGGAATCGGTGCCGTGTCACTGTGTTTGCGTATAGCCTAGCAACACTGTTACCTGGCGCCGTCTTACGTCACCGCGGAGGGGGAGGGAGGGAGCGCTACGTTACCGCCATGTGCCGCTGGGAAGGTAGGGGTCCTCCATTGCGCAACATGTCACAATATCATGGAAGATGGAGGGGGATGATGCACACAGTGAGCAGCTGAAGTGGATACTCAGGCACTACCAATAGTGAAGCAGTATTTATACTGAGCCCAAAATTTCATGAAGGCTCTTTGTTAAGTTTCCATTGTAAGAATTTGAATTGTGAGAGAAAAATGGGTAAATAAGGATGTCAGTTTCTTGAAAGTGTGGTAGTAGTACATGATAATGTAATTTTCACAGGCAATCAGCCACTTTGATACAGAAATAAACTCTGATGTTCTGGACACTATCTCTGAGTTGAACACTTTTGTCGTTTCACTCAAATTCTTTCTACACTATGAGTTAGATAACATTTGCACACTATTATTGCTCTGGCTAATTTTGGGCAAATGAGGACTGGATTTCATTGGGTCTACATATGTGTTTATGTCTGTATACTCATATATGAACTATACCAGCCAATTTTTTTCTCTCATTACATTTGTCCCAGATGATGAAGGCTATTTCCAAAATGCAAGTTTCATATTTTATCAGTGTGGCTGATCACCTAAGAAATTCATTATACAGTATTTAGCCACTGTGAAAATATGGATCCTATATATTTTCACCAATTTTCATTATATATCAGTAAAGTGAACAAGTTTTTTTTTTAATTTTTCTGAAATTTAATTCAGTGGTCATTTTCTGTATGGGCCGGAGCATGCTACAAGTTTGGGTGTTCATTATCAAGATTGCAGTCAACCTCATCCTAGGGCTTGATGTTCTATGAGCATATGATGTGGCAGATTAACTGGATAAAATGAAGTGTCATTATGGCTTCCCAGAGCACGACCATGATAATTACACCTACAGTGGCCAGTGATAAGGTAATACTGGCTCTGTGTGGGAAAGTCATGATTGCATGGCTGGAGGACCATGTTTTAAGGCTACCCACTGTTGAATGGACAGGGCCAGGATGCAGAATGTTGTGTAATTGATGTAGGAACCAGTACATCCTTGAAAGTGTGGCATGCATATGACAGTAGAGACCAGCAATACAAGGACAAGTGCCATGAGTTCAGCTGAGCACAGTATGGGTAACGTGGAAAGAAGCAGTGCAGATGCAGACATGAAGCAGAGAGTGCTGCAAATTTTAAGTCAGTGCAGTACAAGACAGAGAGAAGATGAAGAGGAGGGCAGTGCAGTGGTTTTACAGTGAAATAATGAGTGGAAAAGAAAGGATTGACATCAGGATGATATGTGGCTACTGATGGTGAGACAGTAACTACTCAAAAATTTATAAACATTACAATACATATAGTGACAACAAGATGTTTCATCTTGACTTTCAACATTTATTAGTAGCTCTGAGAATTTTTGCTGTTGTGAATATGCCCTTCTCTTTTCACACATCTTGTACAGGTATACAGGTTGGGGCATCATTGATTCATTATTTTTAAAGATGCACTAGTTGACAGACTTAATTTCACTTACCTCAACTAATGAGAATTGGAAGGTATATGTATGCCATTATTAATTAACATTATAACAAGGTAATTTCTTACATGTAATACTTGCAAGATAGAGCAGGACTGATCTCAGTCATTCAGTTTGTAATGTATTCTAGTATATGCTTCAGTGTGGCCAGCAGTATAGCAATTATTACTTCTGTAATTCGATCCTTGAGCTCATTTAACTTTGCCGGATGTATTGAAATCACTTTGCTCCTCATGTAGCTTTGTATAATAAAATTACATACTGAGAGACTGGGGGACTGGGCTGGCCAGAAAATGTCCCCATAATGGGAAATTATTTAATTTCCAAACACAACTCTTAAAGTATTGTGACATGTTGCACAATGGAGGACAATCCCTCCCCCCCAGCAGTGACGTGGCGGTTGAGTTAGCGCTCTGTCACCCCCTCCACGTGGTGACGTGGCACAGCTTCCCGCTGTGACGCAACACCGCTGTTGACGCGGGCAACAGGCAACAGCGAACGGAATAAAAGCTGGCTGAGCAGCAAGCGAGAGTTAGTGTGTGATCAACAGTTCTCAAGGCAGCAGCCTACGAGTTGAGTTAACTTGTAGCCGTCCCCCGAGAGAGTTAAAGTGTATCAGCGCCAAAGACAGCTCTCCAGTCAGTAGCCTACAGTTGGAGTATAGCAGCGGTTGTGGAGAGAAGAACCGGACGTGTGTGTAGTTGTGTAATTGGGAGTGTGTGATACAGGGACACTTACATAGCTCCCGTACTGAATACATGTAGACTACTGAAGACAGAGTGAACTGATTTGCGAATAGGGTTATAAAGTGTGAAACCCTGCAACTGTGTTATAATTAATTGTAGCCGGTACTTGTAGGTTGTTAAATAAACCAGTTAACAATCTGAACAGTGTCTTCAATAACTGAAACATGTTACAGCATTAATCAACTGCTGATATTGTGCCATTTTGTTGGAACAAAACTGTGCCACTCTCAGTGCCATAAAGGTGTAACTGTGGAAATAGGAATTTATTGGGTATGTTCATATGTAGGTTAGATGTTACAGTACTTGCATTGTCTTAGTCATCCTCATAAACATGAATACCAGTGCTAATGAACACAAATAACCTACACCACATCATTATCCTTTGGTAGTTGTTTTAGATGCAGTTCCTGAGGATTAGGTTAACTCCAGTATCTCATATTTTGATTATTCACACAGCCAGGAAATACAAAATGAGCCTCATCTGACATTATTATGTATATAACTGAATTTGCATTTTCATTCACTAAGTCTAAATCTGCTTGAAAAATACCTTTCTTGAAGCAAAATCATTGACAATTAGTGCACAGTTTTAATTTTATGTGGATGATAATATAAGTTATTATGCAGTATGCGGTGAAGATATCAGGTAGATACGTTAAAGACAAGAGATTGTCTGCATGCTTATTTTTTTCTGTGCTATGTATGATAGCAACTCTTACTCTTTCAATATTTCCAGGCGACAAAACTGTTTTAATACCTCATCTAGGTTTAGTGTTGGTTGAGGAAGCTGTGGTTTGAAATATCTCAATCAAGTTCTTCATGGTATTGCAGCCTGGAACATTTCCACGTCTTGCAACATTAAAATGCCAACTGTAATGATGAGTCAACTCTGTCCCAGCCTAAAGTTAGAAACTGTGAGAAAGCAATAGGGCATGTAACAGCATGTCTATCCTAAAGACATATAATTACAGAGGAGGCTGTTATAAGTCTTGTACAGTAAGGAACAGCATAGCATGTCACTTCATACTGTGCATGAAAGAGAGAGATGGGGGGGAAGAGGAGAAAAAAGGATATTCAAAATATTTGAAGCTGTAATTTTTATTTTGCTTGACTTGTCATAGGAGCAGCAGGCACAAAGTATCAGGTTCAGATGGGGAGGCACCAGCTAGCAGAGTTATTGTACTGGGTGCAGGAATGGTGAGTGCACCACTTGTGGAATACCTCCACAGGGGCAACAACCTAAATATCACTGTTGGTGAGTAAGAAGTTTTCAGTGGATGTTAGCTAGAACATATATAACATGTAGGCATGAAGTATGTAACCTTCACATCAAAAGGGCAAACATCTGGTAAGATCAAGTGTTCCTTGGTTCTCAAAACATTCTGACAGGACCCCACTTCAAATAATAAACCAGTTTGCTTAATTTTAGTCCTTGACATATTGGCAAGTAAGAGAAACTGTACACCTAATACAGTTTTATATCCATTTGTCACTAATTCATAACCTTTTATGTCTATATGGGATTGAATTGGAGCAGATATCTTGGCTATTTTTCTATTTTACAGTCCATTCTCCCTGTGGGAACATCCCACATAACACACTGTTTCACCAGTCTAACAGACAACACTCACTCCTAGGTCAGTATCACATTGCAGCATATTGCTGCCGACGCTCATATTTATACAGCACTCAATGTCCAACCCACCTGTAGATCATCGCTTGCTCTAACCAATCACATTGCTGCCAGCGCTTGTATTTATACAGCACTTGCTGTCCATCCCACATTTAGATCATCACGTGCACTAGCCAGTCAGCACTCACAATCGCAACTGCAAGTTTCGCTCCGCCCATCAAGCATGGTGTAAAAGGCGGAGCCCAAAGCTCCCAATATTCAGTGATCACATTCAGTCCAGAGCGATCAGTCATCAGAGTCATCAGCTCAGCTGCTGCAACTCTCAAGCAACCACGCTCTGTGACCAGGCAACTGATTTAGTTGCTGCAAGTCTCCAGTGACCATGCTCTGCGACCAGGCAACTAACACAACTGCCACAACTCCAGCAACCGCACTTTGCTACCTGCCGCAACTCTCCAGCAGCCATGCTCTGCGACCAGGCAGCTAACGTAGTTGCCGCAACTCTCCACCGCACGGACGGTGGAACAAACGGCCCTCTTCAGGGCCTGCAGACTTTTTGAAGTGGTTGTCTATTGGAACATCGACAATCCCACATACCATTCTCTACATTGTTTTACTGTGCTCACCAATAATATGAACATTGATTTAATGCTCAAGCAACACCAATTGTTTCATAACACTTCTATCCAAAGCATGACACAGAAGCAGTGGAATTATTATTATCTGCAGTGGTCCTGATTTATTGCAGCTTCGGCATTGAAAGCTGAAGCAGATGCTATTGCTGGCCGCTTCCCAGGAGTTGAACCAGTGCTTCTAGATGTTGTAGAAAGGGCAGACATGTTGCAGGATTTGATTGGGGCCGCAGATCTTGTTGTGTCACTTCTTCCCAGTCCTCTGCATTATCTGGTGGCTGAGGCCTGCATAAATGCTGGTGTGCACCTAGTTACAGCATCATATTGTACTGATGAACTGAAGGATATGCATGACAGGTATGTAACATCCATCTACAGAAATTTGTTCTGTGGTTTCAGATGAGATGAAGACAAGAACAGAAGAACTGAAATCTCAGGAAGGGTAAAGTTGTCCCTGTGCTTAATTAATTACATACATACAGTTGATTTCACAAGTCCAAAACAAATGGACATGAAGGTCGTCATATCAAAAAAACAAATACAAAAAATTTAAACAAGAACACAGATAACAGAATAATTAAAACGAATTGTTTACATTATGCTCCACATATTCAGAAATTGCATAAAAGGAATTATTCATAAAATATAAAGACAGCCTATTTTTAAAACTAATTCTATCCTCTTTAAGGCTTTGAATGGTTATGTGGAATCTGTTGAATAGTTTAATAGCGGAAAACATAGTACCTTTCTGAAAAACACAAGATTCGAGTTTGGCAAATATAATTGCTTTCAATTTCTTGTATTCAAACCATGAACATCTAAACCTGAACAAAATTTAGTTTGATTATCAATCACAAACATCTTCAATGAGAGAATGTATTCACATGACAATGGCAGTATATTCAGTTTCTTAAGAAGATTTCTACATGAGTCTCTAGGTCCCACTCCAGATGTAATCCTTATTACTGGTAATTGAAAAACTCTAACATTATTCGTTGAGTTGCCCCAGAAAATTATTCCATACTTAAGAATAGAGTGGAAATAAGAAAAATACACCATTCATAAATTTTTTTTACTCATAAAATAAGATAAACTCCTAATTACAAATATAGCTGAAGTATGTTTAGGGAGAATATACTCTACATGACTCTTCCAATCTAAATTCTTATCAATTTGCAGACCCAAAAATTTTATCACAGGAACTTCATTCATGAACAAATTCCCGCTAGCAACTGCCAGAGTGTTATAAGACTGTATTACTGTATGAGTAAAGGTAAAGTTGGCAGTGCCATAGCTCAAGTGGTTAGTCGCTGGCTTCCCACCTCAGCGGCCCAGGTTCGATCCCCGGTCTGGTCAAGTGGGATTTGTGATGGACAAAGTGGTGCTGGGGCAGGTTTTCTTCGAGTACTTCGGTTTCCCCTGCCAATCTTCATTGCACCAATTGCTTCACAATCACCCTCACCTATCATCTGGGGCTGGTGCAATAGGCCAGAAGTGGCCGCGTTACAAGGGACTTAGTCCCACCCCACAAGCAAAAAAAAAAACCTTCCCATGGTTATCTCCTACTGACAACTGGCTCAGTTCTCATTCTTGTACTCTCTGTTGTACGTTGTACTCCAATGCATTCCCATTTTCTCAACTTTCCTCTTCCTTCAAACTGTCTGCCCTACATAGTTGTGGCACGGGCCACACAGCTCCTCTATTGTTGTAGAGGCATGTTACCATGCACTTGCCTAGCAAACACTCTCGGCGCAGACCACATAGAAAACCTTTCATTGCTGTCGTATATTGTTATAGCCATGTGTTTATCGGTCTGATACCCAACAACAGATGTCTTTCTTGTTGAGAGCATAACTTCAGGGGTGTTTTAATGAGTGGTTGCCTAGCATAGGTCATATGTGTCACATTATTTTGGCATTTTATGGGATAATGAAGTAAGAATAGCAGCTTTGAAAAAACTCGAGGTATTCCAGGATGTTTGCAATACTCAGGAGGATGTTAGTTAGCAATTTAACCAAAAAATTATGCCCTGGTATTCTTTGATGCCGACAGAAATATGATAGACACAATATCATGATGTACTGGGACAGTATATTACCATTTGGGTAGTTACAGTTAAGTATCATGCAAGAAGGCTACCCTTTCATCTGATATTAATGAAACCAGGAATATTGTGAACTATCAACTATTAGGGCAAGGGCACACCAAGGAAACTGGCAACTGCAACGCAACCGCAATTTCTGAGAACTGTTATCAGCCTGAGTTGAACACATGTTACTGAATGGAGCAGCGCAAATTGGGGAAACGACAGCGCAGTTTCCTCAGTTGCGCTGCTCCATTCAGTAACGTGTTCAACTCAAGCTGAAAATGATTCTTGGAAATTGCAGTTGTGTTGCAGTTTCCAGTTTCCTTGGTGTGCCCTCACCCTTATACTACTGCAGCTGCAAGAAGTTAATCACATATGGACACTAAAGCAGACAACAAACTCTGTTTTGCAGCCTAAAATATGGTGGAATTTCATACTAAACCCTCACCTAGACTGAGATTGAATGAAAGGAAAAAGAACACCCAGTCATGATGTCTGATGACAGCAGCAGGAATTTCAAAGTACAGTAAAACTTGGTTATAGCAACATCGGTTTCTGCGACACCTTGCGTCAAATATTCAATGGTACAAACTAATTCCTCATAAAGCAACTGTTTTTATACCTTGCTTAGTACAACATGCACAAATGCATCAACCTCGTATGTAACGTCATTTTCATTCCTGAATTTCTCTGATATGGACATGGAACGTAATTTAGAAAGTGTGTATTGGGCAAGTAACAGGAAACAGATGAAGATAACTGATTACTGTACTCATATCTAGGTACAGTAAGGCACAACAATTGATGTAATCTACTGCAATTTGGTGAGTAGGCCTACCTTTAATATACAGTATTAGTGCGGTGTGTATTGTCAGTGAAAAGCGCTGTAATATGTCTTTGATATTACACATTTGGGCAATTCCACGTTAATGTTACATTAGTCTGTACTTAACTACGTATTTCACTAAAAAATGCAACATTTTAACTCGGTTTTTGGTAGATTTTTACGTGACTAACATAAGGCTACTGTGGAAGTGCCCATTTCGGTTACAACGACATTCGTTTATAACGACACTATTTTTAGGTCCCTTTGATGACGTTATAACCAAGTTCTACTGTCGTTCTTTGTAAAGGCATCTAAAAAGCAGTGACACTGAGATGTTTCTGCTTAGTTCAGTTTCAGTAGGCATGTCAGACTGGAATGTTAGAAAGATTATGTTACTCTCACACACTTCTTTCAAGTAACCTCAAAATAAAACGACTGTTTTCCAGAGCTGCTGAGAAGGGCATCACCATCCTGAATGAGGTGGGCCTAGACCCAGGCATAGATCATCTACTTGCAATGGAGTGCTTTGATGAGGTGCATCAGGCTGGTGGCAAGGTTGAATCTTTTATTTCATTCTGTGGTGGTGAGTGTGATTACTATATATTTTCATTCCTTTATTTCTTAGCCATATGTGAACACCCAAATATTTAACTTGAAATATCTTAGATTTTATCTTGACAATTCCAGGTCCTTCTGCTTGTGACTATTTGACAAAAATGATGTTCTGTCCTAATACTGAACTGAATCCAAAAATCGTAAACTTCGGGAAAATAAATTGAAATTGAGCCTGGTGGAATAGCATATGTTCGCTTCAAAGGATGCCTTTTATTGAGCCCTCTTTGCTATCTGAAAAAATCATGTACCAGTCCATTTTAGAACAGAGGCCAACTACTTTCAAATTCAAAAGTACATTTTTTATTTATAAGCAGAAATAGGTGTATTTCTTACTGTTACTGGAGGAATTCAACAAGTCATGCATACAAGTAGTAATGGTAATATTCGCATGTAAAATGAAGGTGTATACCATAAAATGTTAATGTTTTTCCCATCTTCACGAATTTTATCCAAAGGCAAAAGTATACTTCAGAAGAAAACTATTTTTAATTGGCAATACTTCTTATTCCACCTTGAAGCAATAATGAAATAATTTTCCTACATTTACTTCTGCAATTATAATTTAAGAATGACTATCACAATACACAATGAATAATCTTACCCATTTTTCTTAACTTATCTGTGTAGTCCATTAAAAGTTAACTGACCTTTTGGTGGAACATATTGCGAAGCTGAGCAAGAAACCAGCATGAAAGTAAGTGCCTGCTTTCATGCTGGTTTCTTTCCCAGCTTATTCTTTGACCCAGAATAGAGGTGATATGTTTCTCTGAAGTGTTGTTTGACTTTCAGCAGGCTACATGATGTTATATCCCAGAAGATAGTAAGTCCTCCTCATAACCACCATTGTGAGAACCTCATAATCCTGCAAAAATGTTTCTTTATTTATATATAATTAATTTTTCATTGTCTCTTTCTTCTGTATAATGTACCATAACTGTCCTGTTCCATGTGCTTCTTATATTTATGGCTTTGTGTTTTAATTTATGATTCCCTTTATATATTCTGAGTCTGGAAGGATTTTAGACATTAAAAGGTTGTAAGACTCTGGATTTGGCACTTCAGAATTATATCAGTAGCTGATATTTAAAAAATGGAACTCTTTCAGACCTAGGAGCACCTAAAAAAATTTAACCTTTAAACGCCGGACTTCTGAAATAGTGGTAAGCTTGAGCTGGCCGGAGTTTATTTAAATGCCCGCTGCTGGTGCGCGTTTAAATGCCCGTTCCTGTTAGTGAGCCTAAACAATTTAAAGCCGTGTGTTTAAAAATGCTGTATCTAACTCAATTTTTATGATAAATGGATGGAATTAATTTTGTCTGTATCAGCAAAGAACATACTGTCGCATATTATAACGGAAGATTTGAAATTTTTTATACAAATTATACTCCATTTTCAATTTTTTGTTTTTAATTTTGATGAGTACTGCAAAAATGATTTCCCAGTTCTTCACAGAGTTGTTCTGCATTACAAATTCATTTCTGTTTGTAACACTTGACAAATTTTAGCAGTCCCTGATGTCATAAAACAGATGGAAGCAATAAAATCATTTGGCCTTCTGCTAGCACTGCTTACACTGTTCGGATTTTCGAATCTTTTGACTGAAGGTCAGAAGAATGAAAGAATGGCTATTCAAGAGAAAGCTAGAGGGGTCCCTTCTTCATTTCTAAGTTCCGTTATAGCTGCAAAAGCTTATTGCCCTTTCTATGGGCCTGAACAGACAGCTGCATCGCGGCTGAGATTCAGAGTGCGGTCTGTTTTCTGTACGTGCTTAGTGAAATCGAATACTGTAGTTTTATTTCAGCCTAGATATACATCAAGCAGATAACAACAAAAAAGGTATGTACATCGAATTTTACTGTATATTTTTAACACATTAATCTGCAGAATCTGCAATAAAAGTACTGGCTCGTGGATGAGTTTGGGCATAACTCGTACGTATACTCTTTTTGTTGTTGTTCACCTAGGTATCATTTTAATTTTTCTATTAGGGCTTTACTCAAGTATGTCTGGTAATTACTACATTTAAAAATAAATATTTAGGACTATGCATTCGCTTCTACTAGCGGCGTGTGCGCGCGCTTCCCCTAGCGGAGTTTAAATGCCCGAGTGGCCAAAACTGGGTACTTTGGCCACGACGACCTTACTCACCACTGGCACAGATGGGGCACTTCGGCACTTAAAGGTTAATACATAACTCAAGAGATTGACTTTTTCATGATCACAGTATTTTACATGTTTCATGTACAAGAGGAAGTGAGATAACAACTGGTATAATGAGAATGAGCAAATGAAAAAGTTATGAGGATGATTCCTTTCAGTTTTTTGTTCAGATTCCTTTATGTAGTAGCAAGATTTTTTTTATTAGTACAGTGTCAGAAAATTTGCAATCAAATATATGATCCAGCAGTGTGCTTTGGATCTCTGTAACTGCTCCTTACCACAAAAGGCAAGAAATCCAGGTTGGATGTACAGTTTTTCATTAATTCAAATGTAATATAACACTTTTAGGGCTGTATTCCAAAAATCTCCAATTTCAATAATTATTCCAACTGTTTGAAATGTTATTCTGTAACAGGACTACCAGCTCCTGAGTGTTCAGACAATGCTTTGCGTTACAAGTTCAGCTGGAATCCTCGTGGTGTACTACTCAACACACTGGGCACAGCAGCTTATATTCAGAATGGACAGATTGTTCAGATTGCTGGAGGACAACTCATGAGAGAAACACGTTCACTTGACTTTCTACCAGGATTTGCTCTGGAAGGCTTTCCAAACAGGGATTCCACTAAATATGCTAAACTGTACGGCATTGAAAATGAATCACACACTGTTCTGCGTGGAACACTGCGTTTCCAAGGTATAATTGGTATTTATAGATACAGTTGTAGATGGTATGTTCAAATTATTTATTGTGAATTGTGGCTAAGCAGAGGCCTAAAACTTTGCCCAACTTATGGACGTACAGAAGCAATATTATGTTATAAAATTAGTTATGGTGAGAAAAGAATGAGATTGACAGGATTAGACACCAAGAAGACCAATTATAATACAGAATTTATGCATTTTGAATTGATTTAAAAGCACTTAATACACTAAAAACAGTTCACAGCCCATTTATTGTTGTAACATGATGTGTATGATTGTTGGTAAGGTCATAGTCCATTAGATAAAATTTAAAGTTTTCATTTATAGTTGTTATTAGTAGTGTCATATGTTAGGTGATTAGTGGTGGGGTTTGGAATGGTAATTGGATTTATTGGACCCTTAGAACTTGTAACTATGAAGAATTATAGCACTGTCACTAATTTATACACTCTACAATTCACTACAAGATGCATTTAGTCTTTTATTGCTTCACTAGGCGTTGCCTGGTAACAGATCCCAGCAATGTCTTATGTTCACGTTATTACTGGCTGGCTGCTTCCTCTCAATTAACCCATGGCTCCAAGTGTGTCTTCATTTTCTCAACTCCAGAAAGCTCCAGTAGATCTTGTTATATAGCTTCAGCATTGACTGTATAGAGAACACAGCCTACAACAGTTCCTCTGTTGTTGCTTGTGTAACTGTTGCTACCATCATGTGATGATTACCCACCGTTGCATAACAGTGAATGCTTCCTTAATAGCGCCATTGCATGTTTACTGTGCAATAACCTAGCAATCGATGTTTCATATTTCAGAATTCTGGCTTTTGGCGCTTATGTCACAATAGTATTAATCATGTCCACTAGGTGACAGACAAGCTTGTGTAACAGAAGTCTAAGTAACCCAGTGGCACTATAGGTTATCATGGAATCATTAAATTTTGTGAAATATGGAAGATAGCACTGTGCTATAATCAGCAGTATTGCTTCCAATCCAGTCAAACTGCAAGATGTGAATAGTTTTGTCTCTTTCTTGCCTTTACAATTTAATACTTATGCATCTTCATACTACACTCTTATAACTGATGAAGAGAGTACAAACTTAAGGGTACTGAAAGACTGAACTGGATTACAAGGCCACATGGCAGTCTATAAATATAAACAAAGGCAGCTGACTCAGTGAAGCATCATCTCCCTTTCTTGAATATTCAGCCATCATATTGGGGAGTTATACATATTGACACATGATGGCAATGTGATATTTTAAGTCAGATGTTCGAGATACAGATACACTCTTCATAACTATTTAATGATCTTACACTAACAGAACATTTGTATATAAGCTTTCTTTTATTTGAAGAACAATCAGTTTGTAGATTTAGTATATGGTAGCCACATAGAATGCCTGATGGTTTTATGGAATACTTCTTCATGAGCGAAAAAACTGGTATTTGAATATATGTTGGAAAATAATATAATCAGATTCAAATTTAGAGTTTCCTCTCTTGTTGTATACTAGAACTCTTCAATCTGAGTCATTATTTGCGTAAAAGCATAATTAAATACATATGTGTCTGCACCAAACATACAGTGTACATTCAGTAGTTTCACGTGATGTTCTATGGAGATGTACATTTAATGTAAGATGGGCGTGAAGGGTTCAAATGCTGAAGATATCTGACTTTTGAGGGCTAGTGTTTAGAGAAAATCAAACTTGAAATGGATTCTGACATTCACTAGAAAGCCAATATATTGCAGGATGATATGAATCTAATAAGTAATGAATAAACTCAGCTTCATAATGGACATATGAAGAGGGATGATTAGTCCTCTATTCAAAGTAACTTGAACAGACCACCTATCTATTTGATATGAATTTTGTGTTATTAGGGTTTGCAGACAGGGCACACAGTAGCATACTTGGTTGAGGCACTATGCTACAAGCTGGAAGGTCATGGAATCGAATCCCAATGAGGTCATTTGATTTTTTTTTCCAGTTTACCTAATCCTTCCAGCCACACTATGGCCCTGGGGTTTACTCAGCCTCTAACAGAAATGAGTACCAGGAATATTCGTGGACTATTCTTTAAGGTAAAGGGCGGCTGGCACGTAGGGCTGACACCCTTACCGCCATCTGTGAGCTGATGGTCTAGAAAATGTGGGAACCTCAACATCTCACAACCCTATGGGCCTCTAAGGCCTGTTACAGGGATACCTTTACTTTTTTTTAGGGTTTGCAGACACAATCCAGGGTTTGCTGCTTCTGGGTCTGATGGATCCAAATCCCCACCCTGCACTGCATCCAAAGGGACCTGAGATAACATGGGTATGTTTGAAAATACTACAGTGCTCTAGCCTTCTTCTGGAGGGAAAGTCCAGCATCATATTTTGAGTTGATGAGTAAAATCAAAAACTGGCTTGTCCATTGGCTGATTGCTCTTGACATATATCAGAATGAGTGGTTATGGACTGGAATAATAATGGTAAATCTGTATACTTAACGTTATTCAGGCAATATTAAAATTGATCATACAAGTTCATCTAAAGATTGGGTATAGTGGATTTTCATAAAGAAAGATGTAGCCTTGTGCACACTTAAAAAGGTATGCTTAATGGCATAGTAACTATTTCAATGGATAAAAGTGTAGGACTACCTGCAAAAAGTCAGTAAGTGAACTGTGATGGCCACTTTAGCCTTTCATTGTACCCATGAATCAGGTTCATTTTTAGTATAGAACGAGTTGAATAACATTGTAGTACCTTAATTATAGGTTGGCAAGTGTAAACTACCCATGTATACTGGTGTGTAAGACAACTGGCATGTAAGATGACCTCAGAATTCTCTATAAAAATTGAAGTTTGGGGCTACATTTATCAGATAAGACAACCATAAAATATTTTATTTTAAACTACAGTTAATTGAAATTTTGCAAAATACGTTATATATATTTTTTTTTATTATTGCTAGTGGGGTGGGACTAAGGCCCTTGTACTGCGGCCACTTCTGGTATATTGTACCAGCCCCAGATGATAGGTGAGGGTGATTGTGGAGCAATCAGTGGAATGAAGATTGGCAGGGGAAACCGAAGTACTTGGAGAAAACCTGCCACTTTGTCCACCATAAATCCCACTTGACCAAAATATATATATATATATATATGACTTTAGAAGTTTATTAAGTATGTTGTGAAATATATTATGCTCAAAGTGCATGAGTTTTTGAAAACTGCAGTGACTTTCAATATGAATTGAGGTCTTCCAATGCAACCCAGAAACAAAATGTCACAGCATTCAGGTATAAATTTCAAGCATGAATGCCAAAAAAAGAAAAAGGAACCATTAATATTAAAATTAAAGGTCAAACCATGATGTTCTCCTTTTTTGACATTAAAAAATGATCTCTTGTATACTTGACCTTTCAAAAGTCAGTCAAATATTCTGTCTTGCAGGTACTGAAACATCAGACAGTGCATTAATTGAAAATGATTATATCTTTGGCTGGATAAGTAGATCTTGCATCACAACAGTGTGCCTTCCCACATGGCACTTATGGCAAGGCAGTATTTGACCAAATGCTGATGTCAGACTTGTTTCTTATGGCCATGTGCCACTTCTTCATGTTCCCAGAACAAAGAATCTCCTTGAAAGGGTTTCATTATGACTCAGTTCAGAACAGTCAGAGCAGTAATGACAGCATTGAACACATTTTTATAAAATTATTTCCAGAAATGTTTCCAGCTGTTTAGCCATCAGACCTCAAGTAATCAAACCTCAAAGAGATGCAGGTTATATTAAAATATTTTAAAGTGAATAGAGATTAATACAGAGCAAGTTGTCTCAGTAGCAACATTTCTAACTAGTATTTAATTCAATTTCAGCTGGGGAAGAGGTAACCCTGAACATTTTTAGGGCTCTTTTCAGTCCCTGTACATTAAATATGACACAGAACCTTCAAACAGACCTCAGCCACTTCCAAATCCCTTCCTATTCACTATTCATAATCATCTTCACATTTCATTCAGTGCCATGTAATCTTTGTAGTTCAAAGATGAAGTTCCTGATGAATAATTTGTTTTAAAGTTTATTTTCTCTGTATATTTTCATGCTATCCTATAATTTCCATTATTTGGAGACTGTAGATATAATATTTGGATTGGCTTGACATGGTATAAGAGATTTATTTTGACTGACAATGTCACATACCTAAGTTAGACAAGGGAGAAGAGTTTCATTGTGAGGTAAATAACCTAAGAGCCACTGAATTGTAAAGACTGATTTAATTGCAGCGCCAGCTGGTGTGTACACTGCTAGGTGTGGTAGACCCCTCCATCTTCTATGAGAACCTCAAGACTCGAGTAGCAGCATGTGTAGGTACTGAACGTGTCAGCGCCATTGAAAGTCTAGGACTTTTAGAGGAAGATCCTGTTCTGAAACTTGGCACTCCTCTTGACAGCCTCAGTCACTTCCTGTCAAGAAAATTATTCATAGGTATGTAAACAGAGTTTATATTTATCTACATTTTAAATTACTCAATATATACCCATTGAAATTTTATATGTACACATATATTACCTCACTGAATCCCATTACAGTTACCTCTTTTGAACTAAGCACGTTATGGTGCAGCTGGCAACAGTGAGTTGAAACATTGGCTTGTAATGAGGTCAGATGTGTGAATGCCTTCACAATTAAACCAAGACTTGAACAGATGTCAGTATTTAACTTCTACTATAATTAATATGCTGGGAGTTTTACAGTATGCATATGTAGAACAGAAAGTCATATCAGATCCAAATTTGACTTATAATAGTAAGACTTCTGCTAGAAACTAATCTCAGTTAAGATTTATCTTCTGCAAGTGGTACAAGTGCATTTTATTGTTATATAGCATGTAAAAGTAAAGCTATCCCTGTAGAAGGCTGTGAAGGCCCATAGAGTTGTGAGACGTTGAGGGTCCCACATTATCTAGACAGTCGGCTCAAAGATGGCGGTAAGGTTGTCAGCCTTATGCAGCGGCCGCGCTTTACTCCCAAGGAAAATTGTTTAATTATATAGCATGTGCAGATAAAAAATATTAACCCCTTGTGTGGGCATTTAAATGGCCTGCTGCTATTTGTGGAAAATTATATAGCAATGAGCAGCTGCCACAAGCTAGCTAAGAAATATGGAGAGTCTACCTCCCTGACATCTGTGAATGACTTGCAGAATTAAATGCCAGGGGTAACTGAAAACTTTTATGGACAAGGCACATTACCTGTCAAGTCTCACTGAACATTCCTACAGCCAGCAGGTTAAGTAAAATATTAACTAAATACATCACTAGAAAACTGGTTTAATTAAAACAAGGCAGCGTGAAGACATCTGGACTAAAAAATCTGTCTCGTGATCAGAAGTCTCGAGTACTACCACTACAACAAACCTTCCTGATATTTTATATGCTTATGTGACAAAGCTTAAGTTACTGTGAGAAGGTGGTTTGAAAACACTGACAAAACTAATAAACACCATATATGAAACTGGGGAATGGCCCAAGGACTTTACAGAAGTGACAATGATTGCCTTAAAGAAAAAGACAAAAGCTACAAAATGCAGCGACCATCGCACAATAAGCCTTATTGCACATACAGCAAAGATAATAGCAAAGATACTTAAAAGAAGAATTGAAAGGAAAATAGAGGATATACTTGGAGAGGATCAGTTTGGATTTAGAAGAGGAAAAGGAACCAGGGATGAAATTGGAATGATGAGAATTATAACAGAACGAACTTTGGAGATAGATGAAGAACTGTGTGCTTGCTTTATAGACTGGCAGAAGGCATTTGACCGTGTAAATTGGACCAAATTAATGCAGATCCTAAAGGAAACAGGTATCGATTGGCGTGAAAGAAGATTGATTAGTAAATTGTACATGGATCAGAAAGTTAGAGTGCGACTGGACAGAGGGGAGACAAGAAGTGTGAAGATTGGAAAAGGAGTTTGACGTGGATGCTGTTTATCACCAATTTTGTCCAACTTGTACAGCGAATGCCTTACCAAGGAAGCTCTGGATGGGATTGGAGACTTCAAATTAGGAGGGCAAATTATTCAAACTGTGAAATATGCAGATGACCTTGTGTTAATGGCTAAGGAAGAAACTGTGCTACAGGGTATGATTGATAGACTAATCAAAATTGGAAGGCGCTATGGCATGGAAATGAATGTGGAAAAAACAAATGTTTTGAAAATTTCGAGACAACCAACCCCAGTCACAATAAAGATAGACCAAAAACAACTGGAGAATGTGAAATGTTTTAAATATTTGGATAGCTTGTTAACAGATGATGGAAGGTGTACGTGTGAAATTAAATCTAGGATTGCCATGGCAAAAGCTGCATTTAGCAAGAAGAAGAATATTTTTACCAGCAGATTGGGCTTAAATTTGAGAAAGAAACTAGCGAAAAGCTACATTTGGAACATTGCTTTGTATGGGGCTGAAACTTGGACACTTAGGGCAGTAGATCAGAAATACCCGGAAAGCTTCGAAATGTGGTGTTGGAGAAGGATGGAGAAGATCAGTTGGACCGATTATGTGAGAAATGAAGAAGTATTATTTAGAGTCAGTGAGCAGAGGAATATCCTACATGAAATAAGAAAATGGAAGGCTAATTGGATTGGTCATATCTTACGCAGTAACTGCCTTCTAAAAGAAATTATTGAAGGAAAGATAGAGGGGTGGATAGAAGTGACCAGAAGACGTAAGAAGATGCTGGATGACCTTTGGGGACAGAAGAGGATATTTTCATTTGAAGGAGAAAGCTCTAGATTGCATCAAGTGGAGGACATGTTTCGGAAGAGACCGTAGACCAGTCGTCTTGACAGATTACTGATGAATGAATGAATGTGATAAAATGTATAAGGGGCCATCAAATGAAAATGGGTCACCACGCATAACGCACATGGCGCGCAGGTTGGTAACACTGGAATTTGCTTACAGCATGAACATCTTGTGGGGACTTGGGAAAGCATAGTGACATGCCCTTGCACACTAGTTGTTTGTTTATTGTGCTGGAAGTAAGGTTAATGCTAGGCTGTGCCATAGCTCAAGCGGTTAGTCGCTGGCTTCCCACCACGGTGGCCCGGGTTCGATCCCAGGTCTCGTCAAGTTGGATTTGTGGTGGAAAAAGTGGTGTTGGGACAAGTTTTTTCAAAGTACGAGTACTTCAGTTTCCCTGCCAATCTTCATTCCACCAATTGCTCCACAATCACCCTCACCCTCACCTATCATCTGGGGCTGGTACAATGGGCCAGATGTGGCTGCAGTACAAGGGACTTAGTCCCACCCCACTAACAATAAAAAAAAGAAGGTTAGCGCGATATGTGTCGTCCAGCATCAGTAATGGAGGCGGGTAAAGAAGAACAGTGAAGTGTAGTGCACTTTTTAATTACTGAAGGAGTAGGATGGTGAGAAATTCATCGTTGCATGTCTGTTGTTTACGGTGAACACAGCATGTCACGTTCGTGTTTGCTGGCATGGCATAAGAGATTCCGAGAGGGACATGTGTCACTGCAGGATGATGCTTGCCCAGGACAGGCTCATTGTGTCATCACTCCTGATGTTATTGCTGCGTTGGATGGTCATATTCGGGCAAACTGACGGATCACTGTGGAAGAAATTAGTCTTTTGATGGGAATAAGTCATGGTTCCATACACGCCATTATGACAAAACACCTGCTGTACCGCAAAATCTGCGCACAGTGGGTTCCACATCAACTCACGGAGGAACAGAAGACTCAGAGAATGGCTGCAACACTGGGTCACTTGCAACAATACCATGAGGAAGAAAGAGTATGCTTTTCTGTCCCGTATTTCCACTGGGGATGAAACTTGGTGCCAGCATTTTGAACCCGAGAGCAAACAGCAGAGCCAACAGTGGAAACATATGGATTCTCCCCCACCAAAGAAATCCAAAGCCGTACACACAAGTTCTGGTAAAGTGATGATGATGTTCTTCTTCAACTGCAAAGGCCCTCTTATTGTCTAATTTCTCAAGCATGGGGCCAGAATCAGTGCACAGCGCTATGAAGACACTTTGCAGAAACTAAGATGTGCCATAAAGTCAAAACGCCCTGGAATGCTATAGAACGGCATTATCCTTCTTCATGATAATGCGCGCCCCACGCTGCCAACTCTGAGAGGAATACGCTACAGAGATTTGGTTGGGAAGTGCTTCAACATTCCCCCTAGAGCCCAGATATCTTCCCATGTGATTTTCGCATTTTTGGAGACCAGAAGAGAGACATTCGTGGACATCGGTTTGCATTGGACGAAGATGTGTGTGGCTGGGAAAAGATGTGGGTCCATAGACAGCCCACAAGCTTTTTCAAGGATGGGATTGACCGTCTTATCTTATTAACAGTTTTGGAAATTACTTTTGAGGTAACAAATGTTCTTGAATATGTTCTGGCTTCTGACATGTTTTCATTTGACTGCCCCTCATAATTAATGATGCTGGAGCAATATAATCATAATTTTCTAATGCACAAACACTCATTCAAGGAATGTGGCAAAACTGCCATCATATCACCACCAAACCATACGTGATGTGATAAACTCATCCCTCAGTCCCCTTATGTAAGCTATTATATAAAATACATTAAGGAAATTTTACAGAAAATGGGGAGCGTGACCTGGTAGTGTTGAGGCATGAAGTGGCAATACTGTGGCCTGATGGAAAGCGAGAACTTCGTGCTATCAATTTGGTAGAGTATGGTGAAATTGATGGACATTCTGCCATGGCAAAAGCTGTTGGCTTTCCTGCAGCAATTGCATCAAAAATGATACTGGATGGTGAGTGACTTGGACATTTCATATACATGAACCTGGAAATACAGTGTTTGACAAAATGTCTGCTTTCAGGAAATATAAGGACTTGTGGGAAAAATACAGATTGGGGAACTTGGTAAACAGTTATATATACATTTTCATAATGAAGATACAGTGTTTTAAGTTTACATAATTAGTGCAGAAATTCTGCAAATAATAATTTTCACAGGAGATGTATTAGCTCTCTAAATTGGAGAAGTGTCATGCATTGATTATGATAATGAAGATGATGTGTGACAGACGTAGAAATGGGCTTAAGAGTTATTTGATACTGTTCATCAGATGTTAATGGCATAGACAATCTGGTATCAGCTTTTTGTACATGAGCCTTTTGAGAAATATGATGTCTTCAGATGACACTGAAATATGCAATCCAACTTTCAGAGTAAACTTGCTTCATTAAATTCAGTTAAGATCTGTTGAGTAATTTTAGAGGTGAAACATGTGGATGGAGAGAATGATAGATGCATAGGACTTTCATATTATACATTCATTTTATGCACTTCATGCAGAGAACACAAGAACCAACATTAGATGATAACAGCCAATTCTAATTTTCAGGCTCATTTTGTAATGAATTCTTCTTTTTGTAAATGTTCAAATTTTACTATTGTGCTAAGCAGTAAGTAGGCACAGATTCAGAAAGCAATTTAAAAGTGTGTATGTTGTTTACTCCAACAGGTGAGATACAACAAAAAGGATGTATTCTACCACTCACACCTGATATCTATAGACCAATATTGTCCCGCCTGCGATCAGAGGGACTCAGAGCAAAAGAACAGTCATGTTGGGTTTGAATTATGTAATACCTCACATTTTCCTCACTTCATAACAGTCTGAAGACAAATAATAAATCATATTTGTTCACAACAGTATTTGAAAACAGAAATATCGATATAGACTGAAGACTACTGGCAAGAGGTAAGGATGTGAAAACAAACAGTTAAGCTTAGATGGAAATATTAATATACACCCAGTCTAACTTGTGAAGTTTCATGTAATAATTTATATTTTCTCCCAGTTTTCAGTTTGGCTTCTGGCCAGAGTAAAAATTAAAACGGTTTGTATTAACTGCTACAATAGTGAGGACTGCAGATTTCTTACTACACCTTACTGTATACTTCCAAATTTTGGAGAAGTAAAATAAATAATTGTAGTTCATTTCTTAATGAATAAGAAGAACTTTTGTTGTCTCGGTTTCTCCCTATTATTTCATTTATGTGAAAAAGTTCTTAGAGATGAAAGTATTTTTTTTATTGCTAGTGGGGTGGGACTAAGTCCCTTGCACTGTGGCCACTTCTGACCTATTGTACCAGATGATAGGTGAGGTGATTGTGGAGCAATTGGTGGAATGAAGATTGGCAGGGGAAACCGAAGTACTCGGAGAAAACCTGCCCCAGCGCCACTTTGTCCACCACAAATCCCACTTGACCAGACCCGGGATTGAACCCGAGCCACCGCAGTGGAAAGCCAGTGACTAACTGCTTGAGCTATGGCGCGGCCAAGAGATGAAAGTAACTAACACTTTTAAAATGTTATATATTAGTGAAGAGATTCCTGTATTTATTAAATTCTTGTGTCATATATTTCAACAGAATGCACGCTTATAAATTAATGAACAGATTTTGACAACTGGCAGTTCTTCATAACATAATTTTGAATTTGATTTGTTTCATTCTGGTCCGTCACACTAAAAATATTATAAAAAGTTGAACAGTTCCATCCAGTGTGACTGGTGAAGATTCTTTTTATTCCAGTTCTTCATGCCCTTACATGTTTCGGTCTTTAGAGACCATCATCAGAGGGACATCAGTACAGTTGGAAGCTACTATTACTACTATATTCTGAGTGTTAAAATATATATAAATAAATAATGTTGATAATATATGATTGAATATAAAATCTAAAGTTTTTACAACTACAGTGGCTGTCTTAATATATTAACATTTTTGTAATGGGTTGTTAAGATTGTGTTAGAATTTGTAAACCAAGTAGGTTTGTGTCCTCTTTCTTATTACAGTGGAACCTCGCTTAATGAGTACCTCTCATAATGAGTAATTCGCATAACAAGCAAAACAAATTGTAAAAAAATGACTCGCTTAACGAGTGATGTTTCACATAACGAGTGACGAGAGGGGAAGTCCCGGATTGCTACATCAGTCTGTGTTTAGCACTCGTTCCGCTAGCATCTTAGTGTTGCTTGTGATCACACATTTTTCCAAACTTGTGTTCAGACATATTATTTGTAATTTTTTTGTGCAGTTTAATAACCCTTGCAAAAATGTCCCCGAAGAAAAAGCCACAAAAAGACAGCCATAAGGGAATAAAAATAACCGTAGAAATTTATTTAATGATACTGCTGAGTCGCATTTTCACCAAATTTTGAAGCGTCTCCAAAAACAAATGTCTCTAGACAGATTTGTAGTAAAAAAGAATTATATATATATCATAAATAATAAATTAATTATTATTATTATTTTTT